TCCATGTGGATGACATCTTGGCCGCTTCGCTCCAAGAGGGCATCCTCAATGAAGTTGAGAAGTCTTTCAGTTGGGGCAGTCCCTGGGAGGTCAATGATTTTGTTTTTGTTGGTCGGCGAATAGTTCGCCATGACAACGGCAACATCACCTTGAGCCAGAGCCACTACGCCACTGACGTGATCATCACCAAGGTGAAGCAAGACCACGAAGCCAAGATGGGCTCAGACCGAGATGCGATCTCGGAGTTCAGATCCGCCACCGGATCTTTGCAATGGATGTCAGGAACCACCAGACCCGACATCGCGGCAGACACTTCCCTGCTGCAAAAAGGTCACAGCGACCTGACATATGGTGATCTTGCTGAAGCCAACTCCGTGCTCAAGTACATCAAGGCGACGGCGAACACGGCGGTAACGATCAAGCCGATTGACATGGAGCAGCTGGTGCTCATCGCCTTCGGCGATTCAGCGTTCGCCAACGCCCCTGGAGGAAAGAGTCAGGGAGGCTACATTGTGCTTGCCAGCACACCTGAGGCCCTGACCCAACAGGCTGACGCCAGTTTGTTGGACTGGAAATCCTACCGGCACCAGAGAGTCCTCCGGTCGACCTTGGCCGCAGAGGCCGCTTCTTTGGACAAGTCCGAGGACTACGCCAACTCCGCGGGCTGCATGCTAGGCGAAATGGCCAACGGCACCTACATCGCCTCCCACTCGGCGAAGTCACCTTTCGCTATTTGGCCGGTGACAGATGCAAGATCGCTCTACGATGCGATCCACAGACTGGCAACCTCCTTCTCCGAAAAGCGAGTGGAGATAGATGTGGCTGCTTTGCGACAGACATGCCGCAGCTTGCGATGGGTCCCTACGGAAGCCATGCTAGCAGACGCGCTAACAAAGCGCAACAGGCAGCTGAGAGATCAGCTGAGGACCTGGATGGAAGACCCACGAGTCAGCCTGGTAGAAGCCCAAGAACCGGGAACTGACGGAAGTGGAGCATGGAGGTCAAAGGCAAAAGAAAACAATACCAGTGAGATTTTCATGTTCAGTCATGCCACTTCATGCCATGATCCTGTTGCCATTTAACCTCCAATGCACTAGAAGGGTGGGCACATGACGTCATTCGACGCCTTGGAAAAGCAGCTGGCCGAGTGTGTGCAGCGCCGTAGGATCCAGGGCCAGGCTCCGTCGTCGAGCCGACTCTTGAATATTGAATCCCCCAACATAGAATCATTATCTTTCCGCGCACCAAGAGCTATGTACATGTCTCTCAATTCAGTGTCTGCAGGGTTTCTTGGTTGCAAAAGAAAGCAGTAGCAGCCCTCAAGACCATGCAACCTGACAGCGTGAAGCTGCAACGCGATGGTGCAGGTATCCGAGTTCTCCCATGGCTCTGTCGCAATAGAGTGGACAGAGGTGCTATAAGGAGTTGGTAATTGCCACCAACCCGGCACATTCTTTGCTGTGGCCCAGGATGAAGTCACCAACACCAACTAGTAGCGTCCTTGCTCCTAGTCCTTGCTCCTAGCAGTAAGGCCAGGACCAGGAGCCCCTAGTAGCGTCCTTGCTCTGGGTGAGGGTGAGGACCAGTACACCGTTTCAACAAAATCATATGATTCACATGATGCTTTGAGGGACGATTCTGTGATGCTTTCGCCTGGTTGTTGTGCGCAGGCTGGACCCCTGCTTGATGGCACCCATGTGTCTGGGAGACCCAGGTTTCAGCAGCATGGAATCTCGAATCTTCATGTGTGGGCTTGTACTAGTGGAAAAGGACTCACTTTTAGCTGCTTTTCCACACGTTTTCGTTGCCTTTGGGCATCTTCCATCTGAGACAAACCGAATCCCACAATCACAAAACTAGGTAAAGAGGAAGATATACATCTAGTATTATGGAGAAATCCACATAGTGTGGTCACGTTCTTCCCGCAACGATCCGCAAAAACAGCTTGTCTTGGGGGTTGTGCATGTGGTGTGATGAGAGTACAGTGTGCTGCCTAGGGTTTCTTGCAAGGGAAACTGCAACAACTTATAAGCCCAAATCCGTTGAGGGAGCCAATCATTTCAGCAAATGTTGCATGCATTTGTGATCTATGGTTTGATTCTTCTGAATGTCTTGGATATTTAATTCACTCCGAATGTCCAGCAATGACGCAATTCCAGAAATATCTGGACAACATATCTGAAGTGGACATCGTGCTGAAGTGGATCAAAAGAGAGAAGTCCATTGACAACCCCCATATTTCAGATGTCATAGCACGAAGACTTGCAGAAGTGGACCAACAGACAATCATATTATCTCCGCACTAAGGCAGGATCATTGAAGTTTGCTTCAGGTTTTCCAGTTGTCCTTGGGAGTACCTACAGATTCCACAGCATCAATTTCCTGCGTTGGGAACGGGGGAGAGGATCCCTCCCCCATTGTGGATCCCTCCCACAGATACTACTGGTACCACAGATCCCTTAGCAGAATCAGCAAATGGAACCTCCGTGCCGTAAACGGCCGCGACGCCGCAGGTTGGGCGCCTCCGGTCCAGGGCTGCGCCACGCGGCGGGGCCCCGATGTCTTGGATTTGCGGCCGCTGTCCACACCCATCCTCTCCGCGGAGGTGGGTCAGTTGAGAGTTGAGTGTTGAGGATGGTGAGTTGAAAGTGGGAGTGGTCTATAGTTGGCCCAGGTGGATTTTTTTTAAAGATCTTGTGAAATCATGGCTGAGTGCTTTTGAAGAGAAGGCCCCAACGATCTTTTGGAGGCTTTGGGATGCGTGGGAAGAGTTGCCCTCGTGGCAACTTTCCAATCACGGGTATGGGTAGACAATAGGTAGACACACATCGACATTGACCTTTCAAGGGTTTTGTATATATATATAGCAAAATAGCATGCTTTAGCTTTATCAGAGTAAGAGTTGAAATATGAATTGAGAATCTGAGACTTGTCATACCAAGTGCCATGTTCAAACGCCAAAGATCTCGTCGTTTTGCGGCTCCGGACCGTCGGACGGCGGGCATCGGTCGTCGGACAACCCCAACTGCGAGCTCCGAGCTATGCAGTTGGCTCGCCAGAAGCCCTTGGGCGAGCCAATTCCACAGAAGGTGCGTAGCAATGTGCGAGCACCCAGTAAGACAGGAAAGAGGGGATGTGGACAGACTGTTGGGAGGGTATCTGGAAGGGTGGTGGGTGGTTTTATGCACCAAAAGCCCACGGCCCATAGCTAGCTTGTCCATGTCTCGCATTCAGCATATTCCAGAAACAATCCGCCAGCGCACAGGTATGTAATATTTGTGCCAACAGGCCTCATTCCGACACAGACGCTTCGCACGGGTCGGACACTTCGCGTCGCAAAGGTGGCTTACACCTCGCGCGCGAAGCGCCACGGGGAAGCCTTGTCCAAGAGCTGTCGAGAGGCGCCGATGTGGAACTGCCAACGATGTGAGTCGGATGAGTGTGGGGGAAGAGGAGTATGGCCCATCGTTTTGGGGGAAGAGCGGTATGGCCAGGAGACCAGAAATGGAGGTTCACATGGGTTCACTTTTCAATACTTTTTGTATTTTCCCTTGAACATGGAGGCCGAAGTCTTCTAGACTCGGATGCCACAGCCAAGGGGCATCGAAATGGAACAGCGATTTCTGCATCAGGAACCCTTCCAAGCAGATTGGTCGGTGCTTTCTGAATTGCATGGCTGGCCCAAAACAATCAAATGTTCTTTTCGGTTTTGCTTCCAGTTCCAAGGGGCCATGAAAACCGGCCGAGGAGTTCAATTCAGCCCCCAGTCACCAACATTGAGCCTTCTCATTGGCCAGTTGATGCGCAGTCCAGATCGGTGGACCGGGTGAAGAATCTCGCCCCACCCCTCTCAGGGCCTCACCGAGCAGCGCCGTTATGAGAACGGGATCTTTCTGGGCACTTGGAGAGCTGGACAGCCCCAGACTGTCACAGAGAGCTTGACCGATCCGGTCTGCGGGAAGCAGGGTAATTATGGTGGATCACGGTGGATCTCTCTACAGGGTATATATAAATAATGAATTAGATATAATATACATAGATTGATAGTATGGTGAGGGATTTTGTGATGGCCAAAATGAATGAGAAAAACACTGTTCCTTTCCTTTTTGGAGTTATCCCTGAAGATCTATCTTACTGAGGACCCCCTGCTGGATGCTGGGACGCCGGAGCGGGATGCCTCAGGGGCAGCTGGAGAGAGACGGGCTTGGAGAGTTCACCTTTAGACCTCGCAGCCTGCGGCTGGGAGGTCTGGATTGCCGGATCAGAGGAGAAGGAATAGCAGAGTCAAAAATATACTCTTGTATTCAGCCTCTTCCTGGATTTTTCGACCATAAGAGGTATAACTGTTTGAGTTTCACGGGCAAGTTTCAGATTACCCACTAGGGAAAGATGCAGGATGCCCAAATGCGAAAGTCAGCTTTTCCCCATTCACCCTTCCAGTTCATGTTGCAAATTGCGAAGCTGCAAAGCAAACACGCTTCGGATTCGCAGCCAAGTAGGGTGCCCCTTTTTATCAGGGTCAAAACCAGGTGGTCGGATTCGTTTAACCGTTTCGACGACGGACGGTTTTCGAGAAGCTCAACAATCACGTTCACAAGTGGTTTCAGAGTAGATGGGACAAACCCAAAGATTTTTCTTTATAGGGGGTCCATATAAGTCACCTTGTGGGCATTGTGCCATCTATTCTGAAACCACTGCAACCGAGTTTCGGGAAATTAGGGCTTGGTCAACCAACTGAAACCTGCATCGCCTGCATCCTTTCGATTCGACACGTGGAGCGTTCCGCAAAGCGAGAGATTGAGAAGGGCCATGAATCTACAAAGAGAAACAGTTAGAACTGGAACACACGCAGAGGTAATAAGCTTGAAGTTTACTGAGAGAGTTACGGGAGGTGCAAAGAACATCGAGGAAACCGCTGGTCATCACTGTGCCACGGACTCATGAAGACTTCCTCTCTTGAGGGCCTTTCTAACGCTCAATGTACTCATGCCTTCACGCCCCAGCGAAGTCAGCTGAAGCAAAAAACGCTTTTTGGTCGGTGCGCCGGCGCGCCCTTTGTGCCCTCGGGGGAGGTGGAGCCTCTCTTTTGGTGCCATGGCGCAGACATGGAGCTGTTCCCATGCAGACTGGACGCTGCTGAAGAAAGAGAGCAGCTTGATGCCACACAAGTGCCTGGCAGCACTTGGAATTGCCACAGCTAGTCTGTTTTCGGCTTGGCCTCTTGCTTATACCTTGGTGTTATGGGACATAGTCCACTAGTCCACCAGACATGGAACGATGTCTAGATGTTCATGATGGAAGGACGAAGACTCAACAGGTTGGTTGATTCAGAGGCTCCTTTGCGCAGATACTCGACCACAATCTGCTACTACAATGCCTCTTTGATCTTGGCCCTAAAGAACCTCTTTGATCTATATCTGGTTAAGAAGGGCCTAAGATCCCAATCTGCTCGAGGTTCACCCTGCAGGACATGGACAACAAGATCCGTACTGCGCAGTACGCGGTGCGGGGCGCTGTGCCCGCACGCGCCGGGGAGCTCCAAGCAAAGTTCCTTGGAGGCCTTGGAGGTCAGTGTCACACTGCTGGAGGTGGAGGTGAGTGGAGTCTTGCTGATGTGCTTTGGCCTATAGCAGAAGGTCCATGTCGTAGAATCGCAATCATCGTGAAAGCCAAAACAGCTGGCCTAAGAATAGGTCTTGACCCATCCAATTCTAATCACACTTAATTCTAATTACCTTTAATTCTATTTATTTCTTGTTTCTAATAGCGATGCCCTTGTTCCTAGTAGTAAGGCCAGGAGCCCCTAGTAGCGTCCTTGCTGGCAAAGAGCGGGGGTCATTGGATCCAACCGGCATTCCAAACTTGAACCGGCTTTGCAGTTACATGATCCACAACACTCGGAATCGAAGGTGAAGATCCTAAAGTGTTTTTTGCTTCGCACAATGACGTTGGACTCATAGAGGCGGCAGGTCGGCAAAGAAGACATGCTTTTGACTGTTTGAAACACAGTCTTTTAATGATTAGAGGCCAGCACGCATCACAAGGTTCGACGAGGAGGGTGCTTCAGTTGCTTAAGTTGCAGAAGTGCAAAGGGTCTTTGAGAATACTGTGCCACATCATCTGATACTTGGGCGGCCTCATCCAAGGCAAGTCATTATTCCCCAATAGCCATGCTATGGGGTCTTGCAAAACTAATAGATCTAATAGGCGGACGGGCGCCGTCGGGTCACCGTCAGAGCTGGTGGGCGGATGGTGTCCCGGTCGTGTTGTGAGGTGTCCCGGTCATGTTGTGATGGTGTCGTGCTCATGTTGAACGTGACCGGGACACCATCAGAACATGACCGGCACACCATCAATCAAAACATGACTGGGACACCATCAAAACATGAACGGGGCACCGTCACAACATGACCGGGACACCATCAAAACATGACCGGGACACCATCACAAGATATCAAAAGATGGTGCCAGTCATGTTGTGACGGTGTCCCGGTCATGTTTTGATGGTGCCCTGGTCATGTTGTGATGGTGTCCTGGTTATGTGATGATGGTGTCCAAGGAAGAGATGGTCGATGTGTTGAAAGCAGCAACTGTTTCCAGATTTGTTGTTGTCCCGGTTTGTATCTTGCTATTGGGGTCTCCAGCGGCGCAGCGGGGCTAATTCAATGTAATAATCCAAAGTTATTTCCCACTCCTACTTGGAAAGCATCCACTCATCTACTTGGAGTGGGCGAAGATCATCCAATGTAGGGGTCATTGAGTAATGGACGGGATGATCCAAGGCTCAAGGCAGGAGAGAAGTTGCCTTTCGATCGTTTAGACGCTGGGCGAAGAAGGGGTGAAGGCGACGACCGGGGTAGCCTGGCGTTTCATGTGCTCTTTCATAGGTGACGTTTGGTGAGTTGTTGATGCGGAAAAGCATGCGACTGGGGCAGGGATGTGTAGATGCACCCACCTTGGGCAATTTAGAGGTGCAGCAGTTTACAGATGACAACAAGCCAAATCTCAGAGACAAATTCAACGCTGCCTGACAGTTCTTACATTGTTCATTTCAATGAAGGCTTCAGGAGCACCAAAGACTTCTTGGAAAGCTGGCCCGTCCCAAACAAGCCTGCCCTGGGAGGACATTTCATTCAGCACATCTTGAAGTACTAGGCCCTAGGCACATTGTAAAATTTTCTTTTCGTGTTCTCACTGGTTTGTTCCTATCGCCTTTCCAGCTGAGACGGCTTCTCTGAACCTAAGCATCAGCAACTAGTATTGTTTGTTCCTTCCTTGCCTGTCACTACTTTCTGCATTTCATAGTTGTTAGGTTGTTATATACTCGGTTCGCATTAATTTCCTTTCAATCAGCAAATGAGCCGGAGATGGGTGGCTTGCCCCATTTTAAAGTCCAACAAGCAGCCATACAGGCTGATTCGAGTGCCAGTGCCATTCATGTTGGGCAAAGCTTACCCACAGCTCGCGACTCTTCGGCCGTGCTTCGCCACAGCAAGCCCTCTACATCCGCACATCGGCCGAAGAACCCGAGGTCTTCTGCAACATCGGCAATCCGCATGCTGTTGGACAGAAGCCCATTACTTTCTACCGCCAGGCCCGCTGGTCGAGAGAGGCCGTTGTTGTCGGAGTTTCTCGTGCCGGTGCCGTTTGGCCAATGGACGCTTCGAGGAAGGCAGCTGGCCAAAGGACGGTCTTTTGTTGGGTGCATGTTTTGGCGCCACCTGCTGCAGCCAGCATGGTCCAGCGACTGGCAATCTAGTACTGGTGTAAAGTTCATGGTGATCGTTTTCTTGAGGATGTTGCTTTTGGTGAAGGTAGATGTGCCAACCTTCAAGACGGGAGGGCAAAGGTGCGGCATGTGCGGCTCACCCGTGACTGATGCATTGCTTTGGCGGTCGAATGAAGCCATGCGAGTCACTGCTTGAGTCTGGGTGAGCTATTTCGTTTTGGATCTACCAACTATATATGTAAATTTGACGATCCCCAGGTCTGCATGGGACGTCACAGTGGCCTATAGTGGCCTCATTTGTACCTAGACAATTTGCCAGGTTTCTGCTACAGCGATGAACAACAACTTCCGACCGAAAAATGAACCAGTCCAGAATTCCAATGTACACTTGAGTCGCTTGTTCGACATATTTCCATACTCCCAGTGAGTATTCAAATGGAACACAAAAAACAGCATAGTTTTTTCTTTTGTCCGTTTCATCTGCAGGTGGCGGCGGCGGTGACGGATCCCAGCCTTCTGACCGCAGGCGTCGTTCCGATGGTGCCGTGTAATTTGAAGCTGGGTCTGAGGGTTTCCTCTTGGAACCCTCCAAGAGCCATTGGATTAGAGAGAGATGAGAGAACTTGTTCCTAGTAGCGAACATTGTTACTACTAGTAAGGCACTTGTTACTAGTAGCGATGCACTTGTTCCTAGTAGCGTGGCACCTGTTACTACTAGTAAGGGAGAGCCAATGCGACGTCTCGGAGACGCCCGGAAGGCATTTATCCGGAAGACGTGAAGAAGCGCGCGACAGAGTCGCTTGCCGTGAAAGCTCGTTTTGTTTGTTTTCCAGACCATCTGTCAACAGTATCTAAGGTATTAGTAGCCCAACCATTGCTAGGCTACCTGCTTTGATGGATTTGGAGGATCTAATCTGCAACGTGCATGTTTAATGTGCAACTGGATTGGGCGTTCCATTCCTGTTCAAGGGCTGTCAAGTGTCAAGTAAAGTAAGTAAAAAACAGGCTTGAAGAGAAGTCATTACCAAGAGTGCTCATGACCATCTCCTGGAACAGAATCCAAAGACCATCTCTCAACTGGGTGTGACACAACTAATGAAACCCAGAGCAAGGGCTTGTTCCAATGGATAGAATAGTATATATAGTAGGTTGTACTCAAGACAGCTCGACCGGCTGGCAGCGTTGAAACTTGATAACAAGGTATCTGGCGGCCACCAACAACGCTGGCTCTGGTGCCTACACCGACTCCTCGGGACTTTTGCGGCTTGGCCGGGTGAGTCCACATGCAAAGCGTTGCGATAATGGCCTGGGGCGGGGGTGGTGGTGCTGAGGTTTCACATCCATGATTTGTTAGTCAATCTGAAGATATGAGGAGTGGCCCCCACTTAGTAGCTGACTCTGCATGAGGAATAGACCTGTTCCATTTACCAGTTCTTGATTACCAGCGTGGAGAATGTCATCCAGCTTTCCCAGTTGCCTGGTTTTCTTCTCCTTTTCTCTTCCCCAACCACACGCACCGGCAGTGACCAACACAGAGATTCAGCAAGGGTCCAATAAGATGATGGGTGACATCTCATGCGATGTTCCACTTTGGAGTCGATGTTGTCCCGTTCATCGAAGGCTTCTTCTGGAAGTATCCACAGGGACCGTCACCGTCCGAGTCACGGAGTGGGAACGCACATTGAAAGTTGAAAAGGACAATGCAACAAAACAAAGGAATAACAACCCATTGCAAACTCCAAAGTTCCATCAAAGCACCTGATGGAACACAAGTTGGTCGTCTTCGGGAAGAAACCTTCGTCACCTGAGGCTGGTCCGACAACAGGTGGCCGAGTTCCTCTTGCGACGTTCCTCGGAGGTCGACTCGGGCGGTCCGAGACACGGGCGGGTCAGGTGTGGCGATGGAGAGGTACTTATATATATATATATGGTATAACGTCCTTTTTGGTATTTTTTGTTTCCTCGTGTGTGAAGGATGTGAAGGATGTAAGGACGGGAGCGAAGGCAGGGGATGGTTTCTTGGAGGAGCGGTCTCTTTCCATCTGAGGCGATGGCTTTCCGTCTGAGCCGAAGGACATTTACCTCACCACTGGGGCCTCGGAGGGGGTGAAGCGTGCGATCAGCGCCCTCATCAAGGAGGGGCAGGGATGCTGGTGTTGAACACATGGGGCGAGGAGTTTTCACATTTTTTTGATTTTGGAGAACCACGTATCATCCCAGAACAATGATGCCGACATTATCATCAGACATCTTTGTTAGGTCTATGGTGAGTGTGTGAAGGCTCTGGTATCCATTTTGGCTTACTGCAAAAGGGTGCGTTATTTTTGCAGGACAAGCCGCCGTTGGGACCCTAAACACCACTCACCAGTGGTTGACAGGGCACCACTCGCCTCGTCCATGGTCAGACAGACGGACTGCACCCGCCAGGATGAGCGTTGTGGGATGCTAATCCCACGGCCACAATACCCCCTCTACAGTGCGGCGCTGACCATGGTGGGCGGCCGCATCGTTTACTACGACATGTTCGAAGAGATCCATGTCTGCCCATAGATGAGGGTGTTCAAGAGGTGGGGAGGATAGTGATAAGTGATCTACATCTCAGCAAGACGCCCCAGAGCTTTGGGACATCAATTTTATCGGCAGCTGTCACCCTGCGGGCGAGGAACCGGTCACAATTCCTCGCAACTCCTCCGTGCTAAGTTGCGAAAGTTGGTGTTAAGTTGCGAATGTTGAGAGAGTTGCACATTTACTGCATTAGGTAGATGCAAGGGCCAGGGGTTTCGAGGTTTGACGAGAAGCGACTCCCTAGATCTCTTCACGCTCCTTATTAAAAGAAGCACCTCATTGAACCAAAAAGACACATTTTGCGGATGATTGGTCCTGGACCATCACAGTCTGATGTCTGAGGGCTTGGGTGTCCACAGGCCGGAAGTGATCTCGGGTGAACCCACGAAAGAAAAAGCCATTGGCCCAAGATGCACATCTACTTACTGTAATTGTTCTCCAGTCTGTGACCATGTGTTCTGCAGGAGGTCATTCAGTGCTTCTGCGAAGTGATGGGAATGCTGTTGCTTGCGGATCGAACGATGAAGGACAATGCGACATTCCACCTTTGGAGGAGGGAATGTGCTACACGCAAGTTTCTGCA